AAGCGCCGCCGCCTTCTATCCGACCCGGAGCCCGCGTACCCGCCGCCGCCCGACGACGCCCCGCTCTTCGCCTCCGCGTCCGCCTCGGCGGACGACGAGGAGGCTGACGCCGTGTACGCCGCCGTCGACGCCCGCATGGCGTCGCGCCGCCAGAAGGCCCGCGACGCCCGCCTGCAGCACGACCTGGCCGCCTACCGCCGCGCCAACCCCACCCTGCGCCACCAGTTCGCCGACGTCAAGGCCGCGCTCACCGCCGTCTCCGTGCGCGAGTGGGCCGCCATCCCGGACATCGGCGACTACTCGGTCAAGACCCGCCGCTGGGAAAAATACACCCCGGCCCCGGACTCGCTGCTGGAGCGCGCCCGCCAGGAGACCGCCCACACCGCCGCCGAGGGAGGCCGCGCACACGCTGCCACCGACCTGGCCAGTATTGGCGCGGGCAGGTCTTCCGTGCTCGGCCAGAATCTCGACCGCGAGGGTGGCGCCCTGCCCGCCGCCGCCCACGCTCGCGTCGACCCGCACGGCTACCTCAACGACCTTGCCGCCGGCCCGGCCCCGCCCGCGAACCTCGCCGACATCAAAAGGACCAGGATGCTCTTACGCTCAGTCACGGCCACAAACCCCACCCACGCCCCCGGCTGGATCGCCGCCGCCCGCCTGGAGGAGCACGCGGGGAAGCTGCCGGCCGCCAGGCACCTCATCCTCGAGGGCTGTCGCCGCTGCCCCCGCCACGAGGACGTATGGGTCGAGGCCACGCGCCTGCACCCGCGCACAGTCGGCCGAAGGATTCTGGCACAGGCCGTCAAGACGGTGCCCAGGTCGGAGAAGGTCTGGCTGCAGGCCGCTACGTTGGAGGAGGACACGCCCAGGAAGAGGCGCGTGCTGCTCAAGGCCCTCGAGATTGTCCCCACGAGTCACGCCCTGTGGAAGGCGGCCGTCGAGCTTGAGGAGCCTGCCGGCGCCCGCATTCTCCTGGCCCGCGCCGTCGAGTGTGCCCCGCAGGCGGTGGACTTGTGGCTGGCTTTGGCGCGGCTCCAGCCGTACCAGGCGGCGAAGGCTACGCTTGAGAAGGCTCAGCAAGTCGTCCGCGCAAACCCCGTCGTGTTTATTACCGCGGCGCAGCTGGAGGAAAGTAAAGGCGGGCGCGAGAGTCCGGCGATCAAGATAGTGTTGGAGCGAGGGGTTAACATGTTGTCTGTTGCATCCGACGTTGTCAAGCGGGGTGAGTGGCTCAAGCTAGCGGAGGAATCGGACCGCGGCGGGTATCCCGGGACGGTCGGTGCTATTGTGGAGACCGCGATCGCTCTCGGCATCGACGAAGCGGATAGGGAAAGAGTATGGACGGAGGACGCACAAGGCATGGAGAGCAACAATTGCAAGGGTGTGGCACGAGCGATCTACGCCCGGCTCTCCGCGACGTTTCCGACGAGGACGGACCTGTGGCAAGTGTACGCCGCGTTTGAAAGGCGCAACGCGGATCGGAACAAGGTGCAAGGCGTCCTGGAAGAGGCTGTCGCGCATTGCCCCGAGGCAGAGACACTGTGGCTCATGCTGGCAAAGGACAAGTGGAAGAGCGATGGTGCGGACGAGGCCAGGGTGGTGCTCGCAAGGGCGCTCGAGGCGAACCCCGGCTCGCAAGCAGTGCGGCTCGCAGCAGCCAAGGTCCAGACGGAGAGCGGGGAGTACCAAAAAGCTCGCTCGATTCTAGCGCAGGCTAGAGAGCAAGTCCCCTCCGCGAGGGTGTTTATGAAGAGCGCGTTGCTGGAGAGGCAGCTTGCAAACTGGGGTGGAGAAAAGAAGTTTCTGCAGGATGGGCTTGCAAAGTATCCCAAGGGGGAAAAGTTGTGGCTGATGCTCGCTCAGTGGCACGAGAGAGCAGAGCTTCGCGGGGATATGGAGCTGGAGCCGGTCGCTGCAGGGGGTCAGTTTACGGAGATTGCGAAGTTGTCGACCCCGAGAGCTGTGTATGCGAGCGCCGTGGACAAATGTAGAAAAAATGTGCACTTGTGGATAGGGTATGCGAGACTCGAGGAACGACGTGGGTCAATATCGAAAGCTCGGGCAATCCTTGAGCGTGGTCGAGAGAGTTGCAAAGGGGGTGAGAAAATAGATATACTGTGGCGTGAAAGCGTGTCTCTGGAAGTGCGAGATTCAAGAAGCAAAGCGGGTACATCCTTGCTCGCACGAGCACTGCAGGAATGTAAGCACTCTGGTCGGTTGTGGGCGATGAGCGTGGCTCTGGAGCCAAGAGCCGGGCAGAAATCAAAGAGCGTAGATGCGATCAAGCACTGTCCGGAAGAAGGGATTGTTATTCTTGAGGTTGCAAAGTATATCTGGCGCTCTGGAAAGCAAGACAAGGCTCGAACTTGGTTGAAGCGCAGTGTAGAAGTAGACCCCGACTGGGGGGACAGCTGGGCAACGTTGCTAGCGTTCGAACGCGAACACGGCAGTGCTGATGCAGCGGCGGAAGTTGAAAGGCGTGCGATTGACGCTGAACCAAAGCATGGCGATAAGTGGGTTGCCATATCGAAACAAGTGGGCAATGAAGTTCTCACGATCAAAGACATCTTATATAAAGTTGCCGACTCCGCTGGAAAGGTTTAAGAGTGGAAGAAACAAGCATTGAAGGACAATCTCCCAGCTGCAATGTATAAACGAGGCGTACTCACCGATGGAACAAAGCCATGCCAGGTACCTCGTCCTCCATCGCATCGGATGGAATTGGAATTAGTTGAGGTGTTGTTTTGTTGAAGGTTTATTTTGCGCAAAAACGGTCAGGTACGTATCCTTACAACGCTCTGGCTAGCGACTGCTTCAAACGGACCCATCCGCAATTTTATATAGTCATGAAAGGAAATGGAGGAAGTGAGCGTCTGTAGCTTTCCAGCGTTAAGTATGAAAGAGTGGGCCTCCTTTATTTAAAGCCCCAAAGTGGGCAAACAATTTGCTATTAGGAAGCGCAGAGCTTCAGTACCTTTCTTCTTTCTGCCTTGTGCTACGGCGGTACTATTGCCTTTGGAATTTTGTAAACGACATGCGCTAGTTGGCATTCCCTTGGGCTGCACACTTGCGTAGCCTACAAAGTGTATTGCAGTCAACGTGTTGAAGTATTGTTTCTCTACGTAAATATATGTATATGTATATATATATATATGTATGTATGTGCAGAACAACAGACTATACAGGTGCAAGCGGAGAAGCGTTGGTTATGAACAGAGGGGTTGAGGTGAGCATGATACATTGGAATAATAGTTTTCATGCTCTCTCTCCCCCCTCCCGTCTGTCGGTGCGAAGTGCGGTTGGAGCAGTTTTCTCGGTAAACGCAATTCAGTGATACGGCTTGACTTGGGACAAACGGGCGGTGGTGTTGGGTTGCCCTCCGGTGGACAGATTGGTGTTCCGGCACAAGCGGACGTCTTGATGGATCGGAAAAGTGGCGAAGCGGACCAGTTCGGAAGATAGAATGGAATTAGAAAGAGCAGAGGGGGCGTCAGAGGCGGGGCGGGGTCGGGCAGAGAGGTTTACCGAGGACGGAGAATGTACAGGAAAAGGGAGGAAGCGAGCAAACAGAAAGACAAGCAGGGCGTGGCGAGCGGGGGTCACGTAGGCGGGGAATCCGAGGCGCGGCGATCAATGCAGGGCGACTCGGAGACGAAGTTCCATCCGCCGCCCTTGAGGATATCGGTGTGGTACTCGTGCAGGTATGCGATCTTGATGCGCGAGCCGTTCTGGGCGTAGTCGTAGATCATGGCGCGGTGCCTCTTGCCGTCCTGCGGGTAGGTGAACTCGATGACGGCGCCCTCGAGGACGAGGTTGTTGTAGATGCGGCGCCTGAGCGGGACGAGGACGTAGCGGGCGGGCGGGAGGGGGGTGGTGCGGCGTCTTCATTGGCAGGTACACTTGATCTC